GTTGCTTCTGGGAGTATGGGTTCGAGTCACTTCTGGGGTGTGAGTTTTCGGTTGCATATTGTCCTGGGGACCATTCAGGCTTGTTCGCACATATATATATATATGTATTGTGGTTGCAGTATTAATGTAATTTTGGTAGAATTTGGTGAGTGACGAGGCTGTCTGCAGTGACCGCCGTCGCTCTGTCGAGTAACGTAATTCTCGGTAGTGTTTATCGGCCTGCGGGATCGATAAATCACTCACCCATGTGATTTAAGGAGTGCGAGATCTCCTTAGTGTTCCCAATAACGTTTGATAGCTGTAGGCTACATGTGTCAGCAGTAATTATATATATATATATATGTTCGTAGTGTCACGGTGCCCAGTGTTGTTGTGTTATTTACTGTGGTGATTGCAATGTGTGGACCTATGTTCTAAGTGGTAATTAGAGCACTGGGGTCATTTGCAACAGTAAGTAAGTGTTGTGCAGTATTCTAATACTTGGAAATTAGAGTACTTGCCGTGTGTGTTATTGCAAAGGGGTTGTCATTGTTAGTGATTGTTGCTAGTGTTGAGCATCACCGTATGTGATTGCAGTTCAGTAAAGTCATTGTGGGGCAGTGTTCTAGAAGGTTCATGTCCTGTATGTTACTTTACTAGGTTCTGCAGTATTGTCATAGCAACCGGATTGTAACGTAAATCACTGTGATTTGTTAGTGTGATTTGTCATTGTCGTGGGTGAACTCGGCTGTAGACGAGTACTTGGGTACACATATATTCTCCTGGTTATCTGGTAGGACATCGAAGTCCAGTATTCAGTGAGGTGATTGCGTGGCAATTAATATAACGTAACCAAGGGAACGCCCATTGCTTTAAGAAAATTTGTTCTTTGACAATTGAGTAACGTAGAATACGTTTGGGTTAATTTACCTTCCTGAAAGCCGCTACGGTAGTCTCAGGGAGCGTAGCCATCAGCCAGATAAGAATTAGAGTATTGTCTGTCGTAATTAACGGTCAGTGGGTCGGATAATTGACGTGTTTCAGGAAGTCAAAGTAATTAACCTCGATCCTTCTTTGATCGACTCACACGAAGGCTCCATTGTTCCATTAACGTAACGTCGTTATTTATGTGTCCGGAAGTACCGGCACTTGATTGACTCGTGGGAGGAGTAACGTCATTTTAGAATAACGTAAACGTGGTGCTTAATTACTGTTATTAGCCACCTGAATTGGTCTGAGTATGGAAGGCTTAGACGGAATTCATACCTTAATGTAAATTGCTGAGCCAGTGTGAAAGGTTGCGTATTTGATTGATTAATTATTGATCTTAAGGATAGTAATTAATTACTCTAAAGGTAATCACGAGTGATGACCAGACCACACACTAGAAATTGAAGAGACGACGACGTTTCGGTCCGTCCTGGACCATTCTCAAGTCGATTGTGATGAGGACAGGTAGGGACAGGAATTAAATAGGCAAGAGAGAGCTGAGGAGGAAAGTCAGGTGTAGGGGATAGTAGTAATGAGAACTGCAGCAGGCCTATTGGCCCATACGAGGCAGCTCCTATTATAACCACCGAAGGAGATGGTAATAGGAATAAGAAGAGGATAGCAAGGGAGCGTAGAAGACAATGAACAGAAAAAGGGAGAAGAGAGAAAGAAAGGGAAAGAGAAAGAAAGGGAAAGAGAAAGAAAGAAATGGAAGGGGGAAAGCTTATGTTAAGTCACGTTTGTTAGAAAGATTAGAGCATTTGAGTATATACTGTGAAAGGGAAGAGTCCACAGCAACAAAGCCAGGACTCAAGTTCATGTTGGGTACATTGTTAATAAGAGCTGATTCTACAAGACGGCGTCTGTGTAGAGTAGAGGCAGGAAACGTCGTCTCTTCAATTTCTAGTGTGTGGTCTGGTCATCATACTTCAGCCACGTTATTGTGACTCATCGCCTGCGTAATCACGAGTGATTACCGTTCTCTTAGCACTTTGGACATTGTAAATCAGAGTTTACCATCGCTGAGTGGTTAGTAACCGATTAACGTAAATTAACGTAACTAGTAAAGAGATTAATCAGCGGTCTAGTAGTACAGGGATTAATGGGATTTTCTCACTGAATGCTCGACGGGTAGAGTGTTGTGTAATTTCCGCGTTACTAGTGACAGTTGTAAGAGTTATTAAATTAACGTAAATGTTATTTTGTTATTAACGTAAATCAAATTATTATTGATTGTTGATCGTCCGTGGGACGGAGTGTTAACGTAAGGATTAATTTGAGGAAGGGTGCTGGAGTTGCCAGTGAACCCATTAGTTATTGTTGTCATTGAAAGACTACTGATTTGATTGCATTGCAACCGCCATTGCAGGTGTAGACTGCACTGAGGCGTAGAACAGTTAGGAGGTTACTGGAGACGTGTTTCAGAACCTACTGTGTCATTTGTTATAATTGTGATTATAGATCTGTTAGTTCTTGTTTCTTGTTGATTCCTCTGTGGTCACGCTTATGTTCGAGTTAGTTCATTAAGCAGTCCGAGGGGCTGGTGTCTAGCTGTCATTGATAGTGTCACAGGAAGGATTTCGAGTAACGTCATTGACATTTCTTTTGTTTTGTTGTAGTAGTTAGTACTTTATTGAATAAACTAAGTTGTTATGGTTAACACTGTCTTTTCGTTACACTCCACATATTATAATTGTTATGTAAGTGTTCTGACACACTCGACTAATCAAATTGAGACTGATTCTGAGCTTTGGACCAAATTTACGGAACCACACAACAATAAATTATTGTTGTGAGAGCCCTTGACCTACTCGTTAGATTCGCTTCGGCGAATGGCGAAGGTCGACGGCCTAAGTGGGGGGATTTCAATTTTCATTGGGGTCTCGGCGTTAGCTCGCGCCTAGTCAATTGTTCATACATGGTCCCAAAGTGAGGAATGAGCTGCTTACTACACTGGTGTGTTAGCTAAGCAAATCCTTCCTCAGGCGACCTAATTGAATATCACGACAGGAATAAAGATTAAAGAATAAAGAAAATTCTTATAAATTTTCCGAGCTCAATTCCTTATACAAATTTCATTTATTCCACTTCACTCAAAACTCTCACACTCACTACTAAGTCCTTTTCTTCATCAATCTGCTGCAAGGAAATGCTGTTAATTTGGTAGTTGTGACGTGGATTGTTATGCCCTATTTGCAAGGTCTTGCATTAATTCATTTTAAAAAGCATTTACCAATCTTCTGAATATTTGTGGAGTTCATCTAGATCTCTTTGTAAGGTCTCAATATCATTTTCATTTCCTATTTTACCAAAAAGGATGGAGGAGGGAGGCAGGCCAAATAAGCCAGCCTCTCCACCAGCAGTTCATTTTCTGGTGTGTCTGGTCGCCCAACTCTAGTCACTCTGGCTCCTCTCTCTCGTTTTTCAAGTGGGTTTTGCCTTTGAAGCTGTTCCTATGCACATTTGTGTAGCGTGAGTCAGGAGTTATCGAGTGCTTGGAGTTGCATGCAGTCAGGGTTTTCTTCCCTGTGTGCTCCTTAAGTGCTGCACTAGCACAGTCATGGTTGTCTTCCCTAGAGTGTTTGGAAAACACTCTCCAAGGTAGTCTCCTGACTTGGCGTTACCCTTACCCTTCAGGTAAGCTGGTGGGCTTGGACTGTGTCTTTCCTTAGATAGGGAGCATTTTGCTGGTGGTTCGAGAGATTTAACCACTGCACTGCGCCACATTCCTGTCCCTCCTTTACATTTGATTGACAGTTGAGAGGCAGGACTAAAGAGCCAGAGCTCAACCCCCGCAAGCACAACTAGATGAGTACTTTATAATATAACACCCCCGTGTTGCGTAGAATTTTTTGTATTTCTAACAAATTATTTTCCCTTCTTATATTGTTAAAATGTGGCCTCTATTTATGGGACTCTGACATAAAATATTGTATGTAACAGACAGTACTTTAGCTTTGAATAAGCTGAGAATTTAAGCAATTTATGGACACTGAGTGAGTAAGCGCTCAGGTAGACTCGACCTTGCCAACCCAGTGGCGGGGAGCAGTTGCCGCGAATGTAATTTTTCATATATATTTAACTGAAAACTCACCCCCCCCCAGAAGTGACTCGAACCCATACTGCCAGGAGCACTCTGCATCTGGCGTACAGGACACAGGTTCGAATCCTCGTCACGGCTCATGCGGATTTGTTCATGTAAAAATGTATTTGGTGCAGCCCTTGCCACACTCAGCTGTTGTGTCCTGATAATAAGATTCCCGAAGGTAACATCTATCATAAATATTTTAATTAAACGATATGCAAGACCTGTAGTGACTTTATACAGAAGATTGGAAAAAGTGGATTTCACAGTTAAGAAGATTGTTCTGAATCTGGAATTTCTGCAGACTTGTAAGGTGCATTGTATTGTCCCAAGATTTCAGTCATATATAGTAATAGTTGATTGATTGACAGTTGAGAGGTGAGCCGAAAGAGCAGAGCTCAACCCCCCCCCCCCCCCGCAAGCACAACTAGGTGAATACAATTAGGTGAATACAGTCTGGCTAGTTTAAATGACACTTCAGACAGCCTGGGGCAAATGTGCCTTGGAACAAGGAACTAAAAACTGGATCGACAAACAGTGTGTTCACTGAGGCAGAACTGGTGGTGGGCAGGTAGCAATGAACTAAATACTATCTCCTTGTAGAAATAATTGTTTGTAACTTTTATGTTTGATTGTTTTTCCGTGAGATTTTTTTTTTTGACAAGTGTGTGCTTCATGGCAAATTCTTTGTTTAACTTTAAGACTTGCCCGAAAAGCTATGCGTGTTAGTGGTTTATAAGAACATAACATATTATATATACCAATATATATATATATATATATATATATATATATATATATATATATATATATATATATATATATATATATATATATATATATATATACTTTCATGACCCACTGTACCTTCATGTACACAAATACATAAATAAATGTACATGCTTGCACATTTTGATCAAAACTGGAATGATACAAAATTACAAAAAACTTGTTAATAAAACCTAGAAATCTTCGTTACCATCGACTATGGCGTCACTACTCTTGTATGCCCAGGAGACCAAGCTTTCCTTTGTGAGCTTGGTGGTCATATCCTGGCTGAGGCAACTTAAGCTGAGCCGTCGTCCAGATTTCTGGCTATCCGAGTAGGAGTTGTGCACCATCACCACATCTCCACGCAAATCTGTAAATAAAAAGTATAACCATTTTCCCACCAAGCTGAATGTTGTAACAATGCATCAATATGTCACGTGACTAACTCTGGTGAAATCACTATATCTGAAGGACACAACCTACGATGGTACAAGGAACGTGTTACATAACTGATTTAATAGTAATAAAATGCCCTGTACTATATAATGATTTGTAGGACACTGCAGGCAAGGGTTGGTATCTGGCACTGGGTTTATGTTACCAAGCTGAAGCAAGGCAAGGGTTTATGTTACCAAGCTGAAGCAAGGCAAGGGTTTATAATAATGTTACCAAGCTCTGAAGGCATGTGTCATACGTTTCCTGATATGTTACCAAGGTGAAGCAAGGCAAGGGCATATATTATCAATCTAAAGCAAGGCAAGGGTTTATAGTAAGTGCTCTACGCATAGCTCTGCAGTTCAACAAATCTCTAGAGTGTCATACGTATTCTGACATCCTTAAAAAAACAGGATTAACGCCAGTTCATAAAGGAAGCTAGACAGCTGACAAATAATTACAGACCAATATCAAATCTACCTATACTTTCAAAAACATTTGAAAAAAATATTTACAAACAGCTCAATTCCTACTTTGTAAAACTCAACATAAAGTCCCTGCCAGTTTGGTTTCCGTTCCCAAAAGAGTACCAATGATGCCATTATTAGTCTGCTTTATATAATCTATACATCCCTAGACAAAAATGAGTTCCAAATTGGCCTCTTCATTGACCTGAGAAATGCCTTTGATACTGTAAACCATAACTACCTCTTACTTAAATTTCACCATTATGGTATCCGAGACTCTGCTCTGAACTATATTCTTTCCTATCTCCGTGACAGATACAAATCTGTAGCCATCAATAACATAACCTTCCCCACTCTACCATTAACAGTACGAGTGCCACAGGGCAGCATCTTAGAACCTCTAATATTTCTTATATACATCAATGATTTGCCAAATGTTTCTAACAATCTTAAACCTATATAATTTACTAACGATACTATCTTCATCTATTCTGATCCAACCCCCACACACTAAATAATATTGTCAACAATGAATTAAAAAAGTCCACTCATGGATGGCAACCAACAAACTCATACTACACATAGATAAGTCTTACTACATTTTATTTGGTAGTAAATCATCAAATCAAACTCCACTTCAGATAGACAATGTTAACATTAGCAATAAAAATGATGGAAAGTTCCTTGGCCTATACATAGACAAGAGACTGAACTTCAGCACCCACATACAACACAGCCAAAAAAGTCACAAAAACGGTCGGTATTCTTTCTAAAATCAGATATTATGTTTCCCACTCTGCTCTCCTCTCATTATACTATGCACTAATCTATCCCTATCTTTCATACAGTATCTGTGCATGGGGTTCAACCACTGCAAATTACCACAAGCCCATCATCACTCAGCAAAAATCTGCTATCAGAACTATAACAAACACTGTCTTCAGACAACACACCGCCCATTTGTTTTGCCGAATTTCAAATTTCCAATTTTCTTTCCAATTTCAGAATTGCTTTTAAAGAATATGCAGCGGTTGTATGGTGCCCATATCTTATGAAGCACATCAATAATCTAGAAAAGGTGCAAAGACATGCAACTAAATGACTCCAAGAACTGAAGGACAAAAGCTACGAGGAGAGGCTCGAGGCATTAAATATTCCAAAACTAGAAGATAGAAGAAAACGAGGTAACATGATCACTACGTACAAAATAGTCACGGGAATAGATAAAATTAATAGGGAAGAATTCCTGAGACCTGGAACTTCAAGAATGAAGTCATAGATTTAAACTAACTAAACAAAGCTGCCGACGAAATACAAGAAAATTCACTTTTGCAAACAGTAGTTTCAAAGCGTTATACGACAAAGAGTACTGGGAAGACGGGACACCACGTGTGTTGCTCTCATCCTGTATCACATGGTATTGAAGAACAAAAATTGAGGAGCACATGGTATTGGAGTACAAAAGGCAAGAGCACATAGTGAGTACAAAAAGGCAAGAGCACATGGTACTGGTGTACAAAAGGGAAGAGCACATGGTACTGAAGTACAAAAAGGCAAGAGCACATAGTATTGAAGAACAAAAAGTGAGGAGCACATGGTACTGGTGTACAAAAAGTGAGGAGCACATGGTACTGAAGTACAAAAAGGCAAGAGCACATGGTACTGGAGTACAAGAGGGTACTAAGCGTACAAAACAGTACTAAAGTCAGGGGTACATGGTACTACACACAATAATTACATATTACACTAGTATAATGTATTAGAAGGAATTTCCATTGTGCTGTAATGCAGTAGAGAAAGAATACATGGTACTATAGTAAAGCAATTGAATGGTATCAGAAATGGTACTGTAGTACATACTGTATGTGAAGTGAACAGTGGTACAAGAGTAGACAAATGGTTGATATGTTACTATAGTGAAGAAGGCGAAGGGTGAATTTTATTAGAGCACGGCAAGAGTAGAATACTGGAGTTAAAAGCAGGGTACATGGTACTAGAGTTAACCAAGTTGGAAAGGGTAGATTCTGTACAAGTGAGTATTTGGTATAAAAATATTGCACTGATGTTCAGATCTCTTAGTGCTAAATAGTGAGTAAATATGAACTGGTGAAAAATGAGAAAGAAAGATTGTGCTAATATGAAGCAAAGGGTAGAGTATATACATATAGTACTAGATGGAACACAAGGGCACAAGTTACTAGGTGAATGAACAGTGGGAATAGTCAAGCAACTGAAGCAATAAAAATAACACAGGAAGGCCAGATATTATAATGATGCAACAAGCCTGACAAGGTCTTACCCTCTTGAGTAACAGCAGGACTGGTCTTTATTATTTTGTATACTGCTGAGGAGGAGTTTACGTTCCTGTAAAAAGACAAGTTTGATGGTTGATCAAGAACAGCAGATAATAAAATAACAAATTCTATCATGAATTGTTCCTTATCAACCATAACCAATTTCTTTTGCTTTTCAGCTTTTATCAGTTTGGCACCTTTTGGGCTAAGAATGTCTCCCATCTATAACTACTTAATACAAGTTAGTAGCCCAACTGTCATTTTGTGTATATAGTATGTCGTCAACTTGTTATTCCAAGTCAACTATACTTATCACTCCACCCCCAACAACCATTACCCCACATCTTCCTACCCAAACAAAAGACTATTCCATGACTGCCAACTGTTTCCCCAAACCAAATATTATTTCCTTATAATCAAAGAATGTCATCATATTAGACCAAACACTGCATTCTTACCTATCCACCAATGAAGCCAAATACTGTTTCCTACCTGTCTCCTCCTGACCAAAGATTGTTCTCTTACCTGTTAATTCCTGATTGAAATATGTAAAAGATACAGTGCAGAATACAACCTAAAGTTCAGTACTGCAAATATGTTCTGTGGTTCCCTTTAAATCACTGAACTCGTTATACCAAGATCTCAATCTAAAATTACTTGGCAGAGGCATTCCAGAAAAGTATAAAAAAAGACACCTTCAGTACCCACAAACAACACATAGTCAAAAAAGTCTAAAAAACGGTCCGCATACTTTCTAAAATCAGATATTATGTTCCCTATTCTGCTCTCCTCTCACTATACTAGGCGCGAATCTATCCCTATCTTACATACGGTATCTGTGCATTGTGGTTCACCACTGCATATTACCTCAAGCCCATCATCACTTTGCAAAAATCTGCTATCAGAACTATAACAAATTCTGTCTTTAGACAACACACCTCCCCTCTGTTTAGCCCCTTAATATGCTAAATACACTCCACACATTCTCATGTGCTATCTACATGTAAAAAACCTAGTATCGAAATGATAATCTTGATCAGAAACTTTTCCTTGATAGGTGTAATAGAGCCCATGAGCGCCACACAAGAAATAAATATATCTTTGAAATCCCCTAAAGTCAAACTAAATCTGTGCAAACACTCCATGCAAATAAAAGAACCCAGTCTTTGGAACTCACTTCCTGACGAATTAAAAAATTATCCACCCTATGACCTATTCAGAAGTAAAATAAAAAAGCACCTAATTTCATCCTCATAGTTTCCTACCTTGCGCTTCAAACTCACACTATCTTGCACTACCCACTTCCCCAATATTAGTACTTAAGACATATATCTTTACCAGTATAATCATCTCTGTCAACTTATATTGTAGTTATTTGTTGATATAAGACCTTGCTGCAATGCACCTTTTCATTTTACCTGATATGTTAGATTAAGGACCTGCCAGAAACGCTACGCGTGTTAGTGGCTTTGCTAAAATGTAAAAATACCAATCTTATGTAATCTCACCAACCCATTGTACCTTCTTCCAAATAAATTTTTATTAATATTATTATTATCATTATTTACCTGAATTACCTAAGGGCCACTAACCCTAGTGGCCTCGATGAGAACAGGAAACCGGCGGCTTGTCGAAGGTCCCCCCCCCCCCCCATTTGCCTGCATGAACTTTTCCAAGAATATTTTAAAACTCTACACAGTTCGGGCAGTTACGGCTTAGGCGGGTAGGCGGTTCCATGCGTTAATAACCCTGTGGGTGAAAAAGTATCTCCTGTTCTCAGTTCTACATAGTGGCTTGCTGAGCTTGAAACCGTTGCTTCTTGTTTGTGTTACATCTGACCCGAAGAAAATATTCGGATCAACATCCTCTAACTTGTTTAGTATTTTAAAAGTTTCAATGAGATCCGCCCTGTCATGTCTGGTTTGCAGTGCTGATAGCCCTTTGGATTTCAAGTGTTCCTGATACGGAAGATGACTTAGCTCTGGAATGACTTGTGTTGCCCGGTGTTGCACCTTCTCCTACTATGTCCTTCCGAAAATGAGGTGCCATGCAGTAATCCACACGGGGCGCACCAGAGATTTATTCAGTTGAATCATTACCTTCTTTTCCCTGTAGTCGGAAGTACACTTTATTATCCTAAGAGTTTGGTTATCTTTTCTGACTGCTGGACCCACCTGTTGTGCAACTTTTAATGAGTGGTGGAATTTGACGCAAAGGTACTTTTCTTCATCAATCTGCTGTAATGTAATGCTATTAATTTAGTAGTCGTAGCGTGGGTTGTTATGCCCCACATACATGCAAGGTCTTGCATTTGTCAATATTAAAAAGTATTTGCTAGTCTTCTGACCATTTGTTGAGTTCATGTAGATATCTTTGTAAGATCTCAATATCATTATCATTTCCCACTTTACCATAAACCTTTGTGTCGTCTGCATATTTGATGATGTGATTTGTAATATTCTCATCAATGCTATTGATGTATATGACATTTTTCATCCCTCCTTCAAACATTTGTGTGGGTGATAGAATGTCATCCAACCATTCATGTGTGAGCACTGATTTAATAAAACAATTATTTAAGAGTGTTTGCTGCCCTTTTATCATCCAATACAGCTTGGTTAGTCTCATCTATTAAGGGTCCAACTGAGTCCTTTCTTTTGGTTTTACCTCTTATACAGGCACAGAACGATTTTGGATCTTCCTTTATGTTTTGGGCAATTTTTCTTTCGTAGTTTTTTTGGCTGCTCTGATTTTCTGAATGGCTGAGTTTAGTGTCTCTTTGTGTAACTCATAATCAATGATATCCATCGTGGATTTATACGTTCTCCAGAGGTTGCTCTTGGTTATCAATGCTCATCTTACAACCTGTGTCATCCATCTAGTTCCCTTTCTTGTCTTTCACCTTTTCGGCACATATTTTTGAACAAGTTCCATGATAACCCCTCTTGAAATTTTGCCATGATGCTTCCGTGTCATGTTTGCCCTTCAGCTCCCTCCAAGAGATGGTTTGCCGTTCCTACCCAATCAACTCCATGTAACCTACCTTACCTCCTAAATGTCAACCTATGTCTTACTATTATCAAACATTAATTATTAATGATTAATAACTAACGTAAAACTTCCGATATCTGCCATGTATAAGCTTTAGAAAATTGTAGACCGCTTGTTTATTTATTTTAAACTACTATCTGCACAAGCTTGTCGTGACGTCACCGAGTGCCCCGGGCGGCGCCAACGTCAGGGTTGACCTGACTGTGGAGGTGAGGGGACGCGCCTCGGTCACCTCTCGAGAATTTGAGGCTCTACAAGCCTTATTCAGTGGATTAAACTAGCCATCGCAGCCCACCATCGTTATTGGAGACCCTGCGCTTCTGGGAAGCAAGAAAGAAGCCAAGTACATTGGGCAAAGGAGTGCCAAACTTGGAAAATTGGTCGGCGACGACGCTGGGCGGCGCCGCTCGACGCTGAGGGTCTGGAAGGTGTGGCGGACAGGCCTAGCTGTGACCGAGTCACGTCCACTGAGGGTTTTGGAGGGACGACACCGTTCCTAGGACAAGGAGCAACGCCTTGTGGAAGGGACGAGTGTGTGAACATAGTGATTAGCTCAGTGCCCACTGGTGAACCAGGATTGGGATAGCTGAATCTTTGGGTTTGGATCGGCGATGACGTGAAGGCTTCACGTCACCTGAGGACCTGTGGAACGTTTCTGGATCGTCAAGGACCGACTAAGGAAGCGTGGGAACCTCACACCATCGAGGGACAGGCGTCGTGAGCCAGGAATGTAAAGGTAGATCAAATTTCCCTCCCATTACCCCTTGTGTGAGTAGGCTAGATAGGCCACGATATTTGCATATGTGTATTGCAGTATAGCATTATTACATTAGTAGTAGAATAGGCTGCAGGGCAGCTTGTGTCCAGGACTGTTGGAGAGGACAGTGTGTGTGGACGACAGGACAGTTGAAGAGGAGGTGGCGAAGAGGCCCTTCTGTGAAAGAGTGTGTGACTCCTGTCTAATCTGCCCAGTGGAAGGAGTGGTTGGAGGTCATGAAAGAAGAGTTGCTGACGATCTCCAGATTAATTATCCTTATTTTCATTTTCATGTATTGCTTGTGATTGTATGTGTGATCATGTAATTTGTGTCTGTAAATTCACACATTTTATCATTGTGTTTAAGTGTGCCTCCATTATCATAGTACCATCTAGGGTTATCATAGTACCACCTAGGGAACATCACGTTCTCTATAGAAGTTCTTATCCCCTGGAGAGTGGTAAAGCAGCACAGACTTATATAAAAGTGTACCCTAGGCCATCCGACCAGTATCAGAGCCTGAATGGAGGCAACATGGTGGCAACAAGTAACGTAGTGGCTGGAGAGAGGTAAAGCCACACAGACCTTTTGGGAGAGTACCCTGGGCTGACAGTCCAGTGGCAGATCCATGGAAGTAGCAACACTCTGGCAACGAACAGTATAGAATACACCCACTGAACTGCATCGCTGGGGTGCAGATATACTAACCCAGCTGACGACCTTGTTAAGAAGAAGATAGAGAAGGCAGGTGGGAAAGGAGTTCCTGCAACCTTTTTGTCTGGCAGGCAAGACTCAGGGGAAGTTATTGTTATAAGGTAAGCCTGAGTCTTCCTTCACTTCTCCACGGGTCTAGGCCGGAATTGCTAACAGCAGTTTCCCTATGGTTGACTGAAGGGCTCCCAGGGTGAATCAGTGGCACCCCCCCTACAGTGGTGGGAGCAAAGACCTGCGGTGGTGGGTATTGCTAGTCCTCTCCTGTGGGGCCAAGGAGACTCCGGTGAATCCCGGGAGTCGGAGGGGCTGAGTATTCTGCCTTCTGAGCCCCTTCTGCCTTACAGCAGGTCCCTGCTGTAACCCATGCCCACGAGGGGACTTGCTGTATGGGTCACTCCATATCAACCTACCGTGGCTTTGCACCCTGGAGAGGACACTTCAGCCTCGACAACCAGAGCGCAACTCCATAATCATCCGAGGCTGCAGGATGCCTACTACTAGTATTTATTATAACATTATAAATGTAATTATTTATAAAATGATATATGTATTTATAAAATTATATGTGTACAACCATTTATTAATATAAATTGTAATTTGACTTGATTCCTGACCAGTCTGTCCTCTTACCTGCTAACTCCTGAACCTCAGCTTGTTCCATCCTCTCCAGAGACTTCCCTGAGCACTGAGCTGGTTAAAAACTGCCCAATACCTGTCAACATCTGGCCAAAGTCTGCTTCTTAACTGATCTTTTCAAGCTATAGATTTTTCCTCCCTACCTGGGGAGGCCTGGTAAGCGATCGGGCCGCGGGGACGTTGAGCCCCGAAATCATTGCAAGGTAACCTGTCCCTCCTAGCCAAAACGTATCTCCATACCTGTTTCTTCAACTGTCACCTAGTAAAAAACTGTCTCCTAACCATCACCTCATTAGAGACTATCTACTATTGTTTATGGCTAGATTACACATATCCATTATCACTCACGTGCTCGATGAAACTATCCTGTTCCTGGTGGTGCCATAGACTCTCTCAGGTACATTGGTCTCTTGTTCGAAGGTGACAAATCCTCCAGTGCTGTTAATGGCACCAATGTGAAGTGCTGCCAGGCATATGTCAGAACTCTAAAGGAAGAATGACAACAATTGTAAATGGTGATGTTACTGTACTATGTGCTGAGGCTGTCAGCCAGTGTTCATAACACAACCTTTACAAGAAAACATATTTGCAGTCTAGCATAAAATCCACATACAAGGTCCTGGACCTTCATTATGTTCAATGTGATTTATGCCATTATATAATACATGATTACTTTGAGAACCATTAAATTTTTATATGATTTGTGTTAGAAAACAGTTTTAGAATGTTCGTAAACATAATTTTAAGAAAATGTTCTCTGAACAATGACCACTGTATTTTGACCTCATTCTCAGTAAATAAATTATATATATCAGCAAATGTTATAATGTATTTGAAATGGATTAATAATTAATTTCATAATACAAAAAAATGGGTTGAAAACTGAAAACACTTTAAATTTTCTCTCAACTTACGAAAACAACACAAACTATGAAACTCAAATATTAGTCAGTAATCAGAGACCAGTATAATTAAAAAAGACATATTTGGGATTCTGTCACACACACACACACACACACACACACAACACACACACACACACACACACACCACACACACACACATATATATATATATATATAATATATATATATATATATATATATATATATATATATATATATATATATATATATATGTCGTACCTAGTAGCCAGAACGCACTTCTCATCCTACTATGCAAGGCCCGATTTGCCTAATAAGGCAATATTTTCTCTAATATTTTTCCTGAATTTATATTTTCTCTAATATTTTTCTTTGAAATGATAAAGCTGCCCATTTCATTATGTATGAGGTCAATTTTTTTTATTGGAGTTAAAATTAACGTAGAAATATGACCGAACCTAACCACCCTACCTAACCTAACCTAACCTATCTTTATAGGTTAGGTTAGGTTAGGTAGCCGAAAAAGTTAGGTTAGGTTAGGTTTGGTAGGTTAGGTAGTCGAAAACTATTAATTCATGAAAACTTGGCTTATTAGGCAAATCGGGCCTTGCATAGTAGGCTGAGAAGTGGGTTCTTATATATATATATATATATATATATATATATATATATATATATATATATATATATATATATATATATATATATATATATATATATATATATGTCGTACCTAGTAGCCAGAATGCACTTCTCAGCCTACTATGCAAGGCCCGATTTGCCTAATAAGCCAAGTTTTCATGAATTAATATATTTTCTCTATTTTTTTCTTATGAAATGATAAAGCTACCCATTCCATTATGTATGAGGTCAATTTTTTTTAATTGGAGTTAAAATTAACGTAGATATATGACCGAACCTAACCAACCCTACCTAACCTAACCTAACCTATCTTTATAGGTTAGGTTAGGTTATGTAGCCGAAAAAGTTAGGTTAGGTTAGGTTAGGTAGGTTAGGTAGTCGAAAAACAATTAATTCATGAAAACTTGGCTTATTAGGCAAATTGGGCCTTGCATAGTAGGCTGAGAAGTGCGTTCTGGCTACTAGGTACGACATATATATATATATATATATATCGTATATATATATATATATATATATATATATATATATATATATATATATATATATATATATATATATATATATATATATATATATATATATATATATATATATAGAATATATGGCCTACTATGTAATGTCCGATTTGCCTAATAGGCCAAGTTTTCCTGAATTTATATATTTTTTCTTATGAAATTATAAAGATGTCTGTTTAATTATGTATGAGTTAATTTTCTTAAATTTGAGTTAGAACTAACGTAGATATTTGACCAAACCTAACCAACCCAACTTAACCTAACCTATCTTAACCTAACCTAAACTAACACAACTCAGTCAATAATGCATGTTCTTAACATAATATATTAATAATAATTCAAATAAACTAATTGGAAGCAAATTATTGAGAATAAAGAAAATTACTCGGCCTATAAGGCAAACTCGGCATATTAGGCAAACCGACAGAAAGTCTTAGAATTATGATTCTGGTATGAATCTTCTTGATATTCCTTATGTTTTTCTTCACTGTAGCAGGAAGATTAAAAATTAACTCTCCAAAGTTCATTTCTACTTATTATTTGGGTCTTACGCCTATTGATGCGTTTTGTAAGGTCTCACCTCACTTTCTCAAAGACAAATTCTTCTGTGTTAGGAGGGGAAAGAGTGGGAGAAAGGGGGAAAGATTGGGAGGGAGTGGGGATAGATTGGGAGAGGGGATGGAGTGGGAGAGAGGGCATTGAGGGAGACTGGGAGAGAGGGCATAGGGGTGTGGTTTATAATAAAGAGCAGAGGAGGTAGATTGAGAGAGAGGGAAGAGGGGGAGTGGGTAGATTGGGAGAGGGTAGAGGATACTAGATAGCGTCAGACCAAGATGCTATGCAAAGTTTGGTTGAATGCAGATCATTAGTGTCCAAATGCAAAGAAGGCAAACTTTCAAATTTATTTGTTAGATAAATAATAAATAAACTGTTTACAGTATTTGGTTTTATGTGGACGTCATCCAGTCTGTTATTCCCAGAGATCTGGATAATTGGAGAGTTATGTATTATTTAATAGTATACTGTAATATTATACAATGTATTTTAGCCATCAATTACAATAAGGCGTAATAATAATTTCCCTCAGCCCACTATGCAAAAATAAATACCTTAGCATTTATTATAATGCAAGTCAACATCAATCTGTATGATAAAACTAAATTGTATTAGCTCAACTATACCAGAAATTACAACTTGTTCCATTTGTGGCACAAGAAGCACTCAAATGTCTTATGTATTCAATGATTCATACATTACCAAGCTGGCCCCAAGAAGTGTGTTGGCTGGTCCTGGAGTAATATAATACCAGGCTGGTCCCAGGAATGACTTGCCTGATTCTGGTTTATGTATGTTAAATTTGGCCCCCAGGACATCACTTAATAGAGATTAATAAATCTCTTTGATGTTCGATTTGGAAGCTAATTTGTCTTAGGTACGTGCTGACCATGCCATGAGCTAACTACCTGTTACTTTAAGGTACACAATTACTGGGGTCCTCTCTGTGCCAGGTACATGCTAGACACTCGATAAACTATCACGTTGCATAAAAGTACTGTACTACCGGTGCCACTCACCTCATGGTAGACCTCCGTACCGAACACTTTGCGGTCTTCCCCCGCTCCAGTCACACAGTCTGCATGACACCTGAAATATTAAATAGGTGGAGAATGAGGCTGTGCATCTGGTCATGTGTGAAGGATATTTTAAGTACATATATATGAGCTCATTAATTGTTATTGGCAGATCAAATAATGTACAGTACACTATTTAAAAAAAATGTACAAAAAAAGTTTTACTCTGAAGTTACACTGATATAGTTATTATAACACATTTTTCAAGCAATACGTTTTGTTTATACAAAAATCTTATAATTTTTTTTTTACAAATAGCAATGTATTCAGATTCACCTTCATAAAATTACATTCAGTAATTAAATAAAATAGCTGTATTCCAGTTGATGCAATGACCAGTTTTGCATTTGCATTTGAAAAATGCAAAAGATTAAGATTATTGATCAAAATTATATATTCAGTATCTTTATAAATACTAACTTCTAAAGAAACTACAACAGTTTAATACTGAATAAATTATAAATCCCTGTTCTCCATTTCATGCTTCCTTCACAAGGACTACATTACAACAGGATATTTCTTAGTTTAGCCACCAGCAAGTTAATCTTATATACTCTAGCTGGTATATCTAAGAACAGCTTACACAAACTCCAGATCTTAATGAAGATTTTTTTACATTAAACAATACAATAATTTTGTATAGTTTGTATTATTCTAATGCTACACGTACTAGTGGTTGTACAAGAACGTAACAACTCTTGCATATATAAATACAAAAAAAAAAAATACAAGAAAAATTGTACAAGATAGACTTTTTATTATTGTACAATAGTACATTTGTCAATAATATTTTATTTATAATTGTTATCATAACTTTATTATTATTATTATTATTATTATTATTATTATTATTTATCAAACAAGTGATGGCAGTTATCAATTGTGAAGGAACAATCACCAGAGAGGAAGCACCTGTATAATCCAGTATAAAGATAACAAAAATAATTCATTTGTTCATGTTACCAGTATGGAGTACTACTCCTGTGTTCATGGAAGGTCTTGCACGTTACTGAGGCCCTGCTGTACCGTGCTGTGACCACACCCACCACCACTGCTGGAAGGCAAGGTATTTAGGAATTTAAGATACTTATTTAAAACCAATAGTTAACACATGGGCCTCATACTTTATAAGCTCTGCCCTTTTTATCGTAATTTGTATTATTCTCAGTAATTTGTGGAAAATACAAATCAGAAATATTTCCATAGATATTCCAAATATTTTCAAGATACATACATGTGCCACAATTTTTTGTAATATATATATTAAACAGCCTCTGAAATGAAGTTCACATAGTTAATAGAGAATGATTTTCGACAGCGATGAGCATGTATGGAGAACCTATCCTTCAAAGTGCTCATATTACTCCTAGATATCATCATTTGTATTATCGCACAACTTTCCTGCATACAAGTTTTCCATTATACTTTCTCAGCATTCGCATTTCAATGATCCCATGCTTGTCACTGTGTTTTTAACATATACTGTACAGCACAATACCTAACTGAGTTAGCTTCCTTTAGCATTCATTGTCTTTTCACTTTTGCAAACTCATTTTATGTATAATTTTGAACCAACACAATTTATCTTATTTTACACCAAGCCAATTTATCTACTTTGTACCAATCCAAATTCTTATTTTGTATTAACCTAATTTATGATTTTGCACCAGCTAAATTTATCTATCATTATGTAATTACCCACTTTATCATTTTAAATCTCATTTCATTTATAATTTTGTACCAATCCAATTTATGTCATTTTATACAACACATATTTATTATAATTTTGTGCAGCATTATATATGTATATCATGCTTAACGTATATATTTGTATCTTTTGACTACTGTACTTCCACACGGACCCTATAAAACGATTATGTGTAGGACAGAGTTGACAAAAAATTGGCAGGCACAATACAGCAGAACAATATAAGATTGATTGCAATGACAGCTTGAATGGTAGTTGACAAAAATTGGTAGTCACAATACAGCATATGGCTAGCACATAAAAGAAGACAGCAATGAACACAATGATAAGGTTGTTTGATATTATATAAAAATTAGGAGATTGGGTAACACTAGGTACAGAGCAAATTTAAAGCTCAGTGTAGGAAACTAAGAAGATGAAGTTAGGTACTTTTTTGTTTTGCTTTTAAATAAGGCAAAATTTTACAGTTTTTCAATTCACTAGGGAGTGAGTTCCATAGACTAGGTCCCTTATTTGCATAGAGTGTGTACGCAGATTAAGTTTGACCCTGGGGATATCAAAGAGATATTTATTTCTGGTATGGTGATAATGGGTCCTATTACATCTGTCCAGGGAGAGTTTCAGAGCATGGTTTTGCATTTAGAACAGGGTTTTGTAAATGTAGTTGACACAAGAGAATGTGTGGATGGAGTTAATATTTAGCAAGTTTTAGGGATTTAAACAAGGGAGCTGAGTGTTGTCTGAAAGCAGAGTTAGTTATTATTCTGATAGGAGATTTTTGCTGTGTGATGATGGCTTAAGGTGGTTTGCAGTGGTAGACCCCCATGCACAGATACCATAATTAAGATAGGGGTAGATTAGTGCATAATATAGTGAGAGGAGAGCAGAGTTAGGAACATAATATGTGATTTTGGAGAGTATAACCAACTGTCTTAGAGACTTTCTTAGTTATGTGTTGAATGTGGGTGCTGAAGTTGAGTCTCTTGTCTAGGAATAGGCCAAGAAACTTGCCATCATTTTTATTACTGATGTTAATGTTGTGTCTCTGTAGCTGTATTGCATTTGATGATTTGCTTCCAAATAAGATGTAGTAAGTCTTTTCGATGTTTAGTTTGTTTGAGAATGTTAAATGTTTAGTTAGAGTTAAATGTTTGAGAATGAATTATACAGCAAGTGACAAGGTGGATATTAATGTAGGTAAATGCCAGGGTTGTGTGACAAAACTTCCTCATTAATCAAAATATAAACAGAAGGATCATGAGGGAGGTCGATCGATGTAAGAATGGTATGTAAGAATTAAATGTACACACAATACAGTTCTTTTCAGAAGGGTCCCGGAAGTACAGTCGGGCTCGTTCTCGAATCACAATCTAGAATTCTACGTTCAAATCCCGGGCGGGACAGAAATGGGTGGCTGCATTTCGTATCACCTAACACATCTGTTTACCTAGCCGTAAGTAGGTACTCAGGAGTTAGTCAGCTTGTTTTCAAGATACATACAAGTGCCATCATTTATTGCATCCTGGCCCGGGTCAGTAATTCGCCCTTGGGGAGAGAGGGGGGGGCCTCAATGAAAGCGTAACGTGTATGAATACACTCTGGCTGCCTGTCCCCCGACAGTGAATTATTTAAGCAGTGCAATATAGTTATGGAGCGAGGCTGAAATACTTATTAAGGTGCGAGTGATGACTTAAAAGTTAACATGTAAGTTAGTTAGTTTAGTTCAGTTCATTTATTATGCACCCCATATCCAGCCTGTGGGCGGTGGTGGAAAGGGTTACAGAGGCACCTAATGGGCTCAGGGACTGAAACCCACAATTCATTTAGCTAAGCAAGTTACATGAATTGTGGGGTTCAGTCCCTGAACATGGAAGCAGGTAAATATATAGTGTTACGGACTCGTCACCCTTGTCGGGGGGGGGGGGGGGGGGTTAGAGTGGCAGTTCCAGCGCCAGCTAAGAGTCCGCACCCGAACTCCCCGGGAATAGTACGTAATGTGGACAATGCCATCTGGTGGTGGTTATCTAGTACCTGCAAATGTCTAAAGATTCCTGCCTGGGTCAGCCAGAGGGGTCGATGTGAGTGACCTCTGGTGAGGTGACGCCTCAAGTCCAGCACCAACTAGTGTGTGCTACAGAGCACAATGTCAACCCCCCAGTGGGGTTAGTAGTATTTCCTAGTTCACCAGTACCGGCAAGGTCATTGGTGATGTTTTTGTGTCCACAGAGGTGACGTCTGGGGGGCAGCGGTACTGGAGACGGCAGTTCTTCTCTCTTGTTGATAGTAGGTGCAGTTTGCATGAAGGGTTTGTCCTCCCGATGACTGCACCAGTTCAGATGTTGGCAGACGCGTTTATGTTGAGGATGATCGGAGTTACAAAGGTGCTTGTTGCGTTGTGCTGTAGATAGACGAGCAGTGACTAAAACAGAGGTGTGTGTTGGAGGGAGACTTGCCGCACCGTAGGGCGGTATGTTGTGTTTACGGCGTCAGCTGATCCTTGGTGCTGCGACGAGGCAGTTGTTTTCTGTGTTTGGCTGTTGGTGGCGCCAGGTATAAATGTGGCACGGGTCAGATGTGACCCAATTTGTTGGTCGACTGGAGATATTTAGCCAGTGCTTTGACTATTTGGTATTTTTCTTGTAACGAGTGGTCACCACCACCTAATATATGCTCGATGGTAAAGGGTATTTTAAGTGCGATAATGACTTGTTTGAAATTTACTCTGGTACTATGATGTCGGAAGCAGTGCAGGAGATAGTGTTCGACTGTTTCAGGCACCTGACAGTGAATGCAGAGTTCGTTGATGTATGTTCTGTACTTAGAGCTGTGTGCTGCTAGTTTGGTGTGTCCCAGCCTTAATCTGGTCATCGTTACATCAATTTCTCTGCTTTTATGACATGTTTCGGACATGGACCCATAGTGCAAAAGTGAGCATGACGTTTTGCAGTTTGTTTCCCATTTCTTTTTAATGGACCCATAGTGCACGAAGAATCGTGAGCATAACGTTTTCCAGTTTGTTGCGAAACCAAATCCTGGGAGATGGTATCTTTGAAGGCTCCTTTACGTGCAACATGGGGAATTGGATGACGGGTGAGGTGAGGCGTGTTCGTGCATCGCTTTGGCTAGTTGGTCTACAAGTTCATTATGGAGAATACCACAATGTGCTGGGACCCATTGGATAGAGGTGTCATAACCGTTCAATTGATGTTTGTGAAGAAGTTGAAGGCATGGGTAGACAATCTCCTTGCATGTTTTCGAAGAGTACGAAATTGCTTGAATCGCGCTCTTGGAGTCACTGCAGATTGTATATATCCCAACTGGTAATGTTGTGATGATTTGGAGAGCTTGATACAAGGCATATAATTCCGCTGTGAAAATAGATAGTTGGTTTGGTAACCGCCATCCCTGCTTGAGATGGTATTCCGGTATCCATACAGCGCTAGTGACCGAGGGTACGTTGTTCATGAAGATGCGAGACCCATCTGTGTAAATCTCTGTGGTATTTGGGTAGCAATTTTTCATTGTTGAGACAAAGACTGAGGCTATGGCTGAGTTTGGTGCAGATTTTGGAATGTTGTCTTCGAGTTGTATTGCTGTATTAGGAGTTGTATAAAGCCAAGGTGGAATGGGGGGAACAGGAAGTTGGGTTTCAGTTTTGAAGTAGGGAGAGGTCTATATTGAGGTTATTTGTAGCCCGTGTGAGGAAAGGTTGTGAGTGAATGGTTGGGAGAGCGGGGGTTATATGGGTTAACTGTTGGGTTAATTTTTGATCTGTATGGGTGTGTCTGGTGAGCAGTGGTACAGAGTGACAGATAGTTGGCACACATAATGTCTCGTCTGGTGGCTAGGCTTGTGAGGCCTGTTTCCCCCGTAAAGTCCGAGGATTGGAGTTGAACGCATTGCGCCACATATAAGTCGCATGGCATTATTTTGTATGAACTCGAGGCTCTGTAGGTTAGTGGGCGCCGCCGACGCATATGCTTGGCAACAATAGTCTAGTTGGCTGCGAATGTAGGTTGTATAGAAACGGAGCAAGGTTTTATGGTGTGCTCCCCAGGTGGTGCCAGTGAGGGCTTTCAGTATGGCGAGTCGGGGTTGTGTCGTCTGTTTAAGGTGTTGAATGTGTGCTTTCCAGGTAAGTAAGGGGGAGTCTAAGTGCATGCCAAGATATTTATGTTCTCGTACGTGTTGGATGGGAGCGTTTTGTATTGTGAGGGTGGGTAGATGAAGTAGTCTTTTTTTAGTGAAAATCTGATAGCAGGTTTTGGTAGTACTGACTTGAAGGCCCCATTGTTGTGTCCAATCTATGAGGTGGTCCAGTGCTGTTTGCATTGTTGAGACTGTAT